AGTCTTGGCCTCCTCAAGACATGTCCGCCAGGCATATCTATCCTGCACAGCCGCTTTCCAGTTACCTACACCAAGTAGTGCATATGCATTCCTTGCCACATAATCCTGCCATCGCAGCCGTGGTCTTCCTACTTTCCTAGAGCCTTGTTCATTGCTCTCCATAGTTTTTTTTTGGGATTTCATCATTTTGCATCCTCGCCACATGCCCTGCCCATCGCAGTCTTGCAAGCTTTATGTTATGTCTAATCCTCCCAATTCTGTTCATCGTGCACAGGACCATAGATTCTGCGGAGCACCTTCTGCTCAAATAACGCTTGGGCTCGCTTGTCTCCTTGCGTCAAGATCCAGGCTTCAGAGCTATACATCAGAACCGGACGAATGAGCATTTTATAAAGCTGTGTCTTTGTGCTGCGAGAGATGAGTTTAGTTTTGAAAAGCTTATTTAGGCAAAAATAGCACTTGTTTGCCGCTACTATCCTTCTCTTGATCTCTAGGTTTCCTCTGCTTTCTCTATTTTCCAGAGATCCCAGATATGCAAACTCATTAACTCTCTGGAACTTATAGTGCACGCTCTCCAGGTGCTGTTCTCGGGCAGTAGTGTTACCTCCAATACACATATATTTGGTTTTTGCTTCGTTAACAATCAGTCCTAGCCTCCTAGCCACTGCTTCTAGTAGGACAAACGTTTCTTTCATAGCATTCATCGATCTGGCCATTATGTCAATGTCATCGGCATATGCAAGTATCGGTACTGTCTTATTCAATAGAGTACCAGTAGTCTGGATGCCAGAATCCCTCACAGCTTTTTCGAGTGACAGGTTAAATAGGAGGCATGCAATGTTGCAGTCCTTTAGTTGTCATGAACCTCTGTGGTAAGTCTCTCTGTACTCGGACGACACACTACGCCCATCATGGTCATCCTAACGAGGCGGACCAGTTTTGGAGGTATGTTCATTTCAATCATAGCCCTGTATAACTGCTCTCTATCGATGCTATCGTAAGCAGCTTTAAAATCTAAAGCTTTAAAATGCTATGGGCCGATAACCCGTTCATCCTAAATTAACCTATCAGGAAACCTCAAAGAGAACAAAAAAAAAGGAGTGGTACCGGTATTAAATCCAAATACTGGCAGAAAGTAGTTGAAAACAATGGACTCTACTTTTAAGAGAAGTATTCAATAATCTTTAAGATACCTAATATGAAATAAAGTTATACTTATGGACAAGGACTTACTTATGTAACATTCTATTAAATTGGTGACATTTTCAGTTAATCAGATACAGTTTAATATAAATTTAATGTGAATAAAACAGCAAGGCACAGCTAGAGCATAGAAATAAAATTGTTTATTTATTTATATTCCTACTCATTAGGAAAAAAATATTTTTTTCTTGAAGGTCTGTATAAACAGAAACACTCATTAAACAGTTAACAAATTTTAGTTGAAGATTTATTTTTTATTGTTCACCTAGATAAAAATTATATCATTTAGTGAAGTAATCTGGTGAAGTTGATGTTTGTTGAATATTGTTTCAGAAGCGGTTGAAGTTGTGATGTGCCACAGAAACTTGCCTCTTTTAAATTTTTTTATTGGAAAATGGTATATTATCAAATTAAATTTTTGTTAAATCATTAATCGATAGTATTGATATAATAAAAATCTAGTATTGATTTGGTAGATAAAACTGAACTTTATTTTGGGACTTGTAATACTTAAGTCCCTTAAGTATTACAAGTATGTTGAAATAAACAAAAACCATATCAGAAAATATTTGAATCTGGTCAGTTAAGTAGTATGGCAGATATCAGACAGCTGGAGATTCCAGAAGGCAGTGGTGTGGGTAAGAAATGAACATTAGAAGATTTTAATCTTGTGGGATAAAAGTCCGAAATACAGGATCTTGTTTTCATTGAGTGGACTAAGGTTTTGATTGCAGACTATAGATGTAGAAAGGATGCTGGGAGTCAATCGTTTCGCTAGATGAAATAAGGCATTGTGCGTGGAGTGCGGCGGCTCTGACTCTATGCTCTTACCGAGGGAAAGTCCTGGTGGTTTCTGAGAGCTGTTTAACTTGGACTGAAAAGAGAATATTAAGGCACAGTCATACCGTAGAAGATGCACAGCCGTGCACTGGACTATGCCACACTATTTTTATTGTTTCTAGAAATAAATGCATACCGTAAAGCATGTATAAAATATAGAACAATAACAAATAAAAATAATATAATAACCCCATATGCCAGAAATGGCCTGGTCAGAGGAATTTAAAAAAAAACAAGAGGGAGTCAATCATTTGGAATAGATAAGATCCAAGGAAATATTGCTGCTGAAAAGAGGGCAAAATCCACTTTAACTTGCCATAAAGATGAGACGGTCTCGGCAAATCTTGATAACTTCATGATTTGCTTCAGTCAGTCCTTGAGTAAAATTATATCCATTGAGAAGATATAGGGTGTCCAGGAGAGCTTTTTGTCAATAGTAATCTTTAAGTTTTTACCAGAGGACTAAAATGTGACAGGATAATCATGAAGAATGCCCGAATTTTTAATATAGTGAAGCCCCATAAAATATGCAATAAAAAACTGTCAAATATGTAGTAATAAAGTATACAGTGAAAACATTTTTAAATATGCAATAAAAGGTCTAAAATATTCAATTATACTAATATCCCCCCTAAAAAAATTGGAAGAATTATAAATTAAATAAAAGGATTTCATTTATTTTTTTTTTATCAAAATAAATAATACATAATATGATAAATACAAACATCATCAATTACAAGTAAAAACATAATAGGAAATACTTATTAAACATTAAAATAATACCAATTTACTATCTATATTAATAAAACTGTAAATGTTCGTTTGTTCAAAACCGCTAATCTCCGAAACTTCTTCACTGAATGTTTTGAAATATTGACAGATCGTTTCCATCAGATTCAGGAGTGTTTTTATATACATTTAATTACCCTCCGGTCTTTCATTTCGGAAAGGTGGTCGAAAAAAGTCTGTCGCTATAGACTAGCGAATAAACGGCTGCAACAATTGTAATAAAACCTGGATAAAGTCTTCTCCTTGAAGCCCTTTTAATTTATATTTATAACATCCTTCCACAAAAAGAGTATGAAAAAAAGTTATGGTGGGCTCAAAACTATATTTGCAAATAATTCAAAAAGTATACAAATATTGTTTGATTAAACCCATAATTATTTGAAAGCTTCCTTAATTCCCTGCAAAATGATAAAAAAATCCATCGAAATCGAAAAAATTATCTCTGAAATGAAACAAATTGTACCGGCCAAAGGAGCAAAGTGGATTCAAATATTTTTTTAAGCAGAAACTAAGTTGAGATTCTTATTTCACATCTCGACAAATCCTCAAATACAAATTTTCATTGCAATCGAAAAAAAAATTCAAAACATTCATGAGCATTTGAAAGCTTCCTTAAATCTCTTCTAATTAAAAAAAAAAAGGTCATTAAAATCGGATGATTTGGTGCAGAGATATAATGTTTTAAACGTGTAGTGCTTTTAAATTGCTCTCTCACATGGACAATTATCTATTGCGTGTTGGAAAACCATACAATCTCTATATCTATACAAAGAATGGAGCAACATAAAATGTTGTATATCCACAAGTATTATGAAATAAAAGATATTAGAAACTGATTTATTTTTTAATTATTTTTCTATTCAAGAAAAGTGAGCCACAGTAACTCGTGGCCGGGTACAGTAAGTTATTAATAAAAGAAAATTAGCAATATTTTAAACTAAATTATTAGAATTGGATGGATTAGCAATGGGTTAGCGACATGATGTAATGAAATTTTATAAATTAATTTCTAATTTTTTTTTTTTAAACTTTATCGTTTATAATCAGAAAATGATCATTCTACAACATACTTGATAGAAGCAAATTTGAATCAATTGAAAAATGAAAATCATTTGTTTTAAAAATTATTTCATCTTTGGAACCATAGGGTCTATTCAATATTACAATTTTAAAATAAATTATGCACTTAAAATTATAAAAAATATAACTGCATGTAAAAAAAGTAAGACATGTTAAATGAGTCTGGTGTTCAGAAGCTAACAGGAATAAGAAGTGGAGATAAAAAAAAACGGAAAATGAAACTGAAGGTAACATTATTTTATTGTTATTCATAGATTGAAAATCAACCTGCAATCAATATCAATACACCATTTTAATTCATTATTTCTAACTATTATTATTATTATTTATTTGAAATAATCAAAATATGCAATTGCGATTGCATCTGGATACACTTATTGGTATAGGTATTTGATCAGTTTCCAGAATTTCATATATATCTTGGCTCTGGTGATGACTGAAGGAGTAGTTATATCCAAGGAGATAATTGGAACCTATAGCAATATGATATGCAAATAAGTAAGGAGTAAGAGTAAGTAAGCGTAATTGAAATTTTGATGAAGTGAAAACTATTCTGGCTTTAGAAGCAGCAATACAGTCCATAGCTAGAGAAAAAGATTGCTTATCTTTAACTACACCTGCTAACTTGTGTGTACTTAATACACATGTGTATAAAAAGAGAATTTTTAAAATGGACATTAGAAAAACTAAAAGCTAAGATTGGGGTTAAAATATATGAATCTCTCATACATAATAAGCTTCTATACAATGTATCAAGAAAAGAGGCAGTGGCTTCTAAAACAAAAAGAGATCAAAGCTTTACTGGGCTGCTCGAAGTCTAAGGCATAATAAGCCTCCATGACGATATCAAAAAAATTTGATATTTTTATGTTTTTTTCTAAATTTTATAAATAAAAAAAAAACGTTTTTAATTTTAATCTAAAATTAAAATGTTGGGCTTAGAAACTGGAAATGACAATATCAACCATTCATTCTTTTGGGAGACATTAAGAATAAGACTTAAAGGAAATTAGAAACTAATATGAGTAAAACAATTCCTTTATTATTTATACAATTCGTAGAACAGAAATTTTTACAATAAAAATAGTCTTCATTCTAGTTAAAAATAAAACTATGAACTATTCCGTTATAAGTAAAATCACCACTTATATAATGGTACATTAAACAGACTCAATATAATATACAGTTATTGGCTAAACTTTAAAACGATAGGGTGAACGAACCTCGTTGCAATGAGGTAAAGTCATCGAATAATTTAAATAAAATTTTAAATTTCACAATATTTAAAGCTTATTTTAACTGTGAGGTTTTACACAGACAAGGAACGCACAGGAATAAACATTCTTCAGCATTGATTGTTGGTGCTGCGAGTAAGTAGTTTCGATTCCAGTCTGTTCTTTCTGCAATAAATAAAATTAGCATTAGAAAAGTTGTTTTTAAATATTTAACGATAAAAATATACAAAATTGATTGCTGAATAACCGATTGTTACAAGGAGATGAATCGATTCTATTTCCTCCTCAGTGCGATTATTTTGGGATCATAACAAAATAGTAAACCCAAGCGAGGTTTACTTCTCTTCTTCTTCCTATAAAACGTGTATAATATGTATAATCGTCTAAAATATGGTGAACCTTTTTATCATTCAGATAACAATATGAGAAACTATTAACTTATGAAAAAAAAACAAATAAATAAAAAATAATATTAATGATAATAATGTAAGGAACATATGAAAAATTTAATAACAGTTACAGATAGGAACATATGCAATAACTAATAACAATATTAGAGAGGAACTAATAACAGTTATAGAGAGGAACTTATGAAATAAATAATAATGGCAACAAAGTTGGGGACTAATGAAATAAACTTGTTTAAAAACTTAATCAAATAGACTAAAATGAGAACTAATGAAATAACAATCATGAATGAAATGAACATAATGAAATTAGGTAACGAAATTTCATTGGTCCCCAACTTTGTTGTCGTTATTATTTATTTCATAAGTTCCTCTCTATTACTGTTATTAGTTACTCTCTAATATTGTTATTGGTTATTTCATAAGTTCCTATCTGCAACTGTTACTAAAATTTTCAAGTTTAATAACATTTAACAGATAGGATTTTAAACACATTGTTTAAAATTTAAATAAGTTTGTAGTAGACAGCCCCCTGTATTTACTCCTTTATGTGACATTGTGTGATGGAATGAGAAGGAATCTATAGGAATGTGAGGTTGCACTATGAATTGTACTCAATTATGCAGTGGACAAATTATTCATAGAAATGACTCATATCGATAAACAATCGATGAAGAAGGGCGCTGGAAGAAGGTCAGAGCAGGTGGCTAGCAACAGCTGGCAGAAGGATGCCGAGAAGAGCACTTGAGGCCTGGACACTAACACAAGACGTGATCTGGGAAGAGAGGCTTACTACATTGAAGACCAAGAATATCAAGCCTACAGTTATAAGACTTATACATTCATTTATTGCAGTTGTGAAATAAATTGTTTTATTATACAGGAGTGAAAAGTCACTTTATTAAGTTGTCCTATATGCCTCACAACAGAAGAATAACAATCCAGGTGAGTCAATTCATTTAAAGTGTATTTACTAAGTCCCACATTTCATATAAATATTCTTATTGTTTCTTGTCACAAAAGGTATTAGATTCCCGAATTTCCAACAACAGTTAAACACCCTCAAAAGTCTATATCCAGTGAGGGGGTTTTGTTTAAATAATTACGAGTGTAAATAACCTAGTTCCCCGATAAAAACGGAAGGCTATTCGCAATTCTCACCGAAAACAAATAACATTTAACATTATTAGGTTATTTACAAGTTATTTCATTAGTAGCCAACTTTGCTGCCACTATTATTTATTATATAAGTTCCTCTCTAATATTGTTATTAGTTATTTCATAAGTTCCTCTCTGTTACTGTTATTAATTTTTTCATATGTTCCTTACATAATTATTATTAATATTATTTTTTATTTATTTTATTTTTTTCATAAGTTAATAGTTTCTCATATTGTTATCTAGTCTTTTTTTAGCCCTGATGAAGATCTGAACTTTAGGCTGAAACGTTGGAAAATATAAAAATAAATAGCATTTATTAATTTTTTTTTTTTTTTGACTGAGCACCCCAACCAACTTCTATTCAACAAATCTTTATATTTAACTTAATTCTATTAATTCTCAAATCTATCTTTAACTTAAATAATTAAATATTAATTAATTCTAGGGACTTATTCCTAATGGATCCTTTTCAGATGAAATTGGAGCCTTATGAAGCCTGGATTTTTGTCAGTGGATAGCCATAAAAAATATAATAAATTTTAAAACAATTGATGAACAAGGATATATTTCTACTGATAAAAACCTTTGATAAGGTACCACATCGATTTGTAGGGGGATTTTATATCTCTTGAGCAAGCTTGGTAAGTCGAAATCCGACAGTCAAGATCTTATTAAAACAGTAATACTTTTTAAGAATCACTAATAATGCCAAGAAATAGAATTGTATTTTTATTGCTCACAAATGAAATCAGAAGACAGATCGCCTCCATCTACTTTCAGAATTTCATCTACAGTGTGATCATGTGATTTTGTACCCAGCCGCCGTATTGGAGTACCACTTCAGAACTTGTACATTTTCTACATGAAGTATTTAAAGAAATGAAGTTTCATCATCTCCAATAACCAATCAATTATTCTTAAAATATTGTTAAAAAAATAAAATAAAATAAAAACCTGTATAATAAAACCTATCCCCCTTATGATTTCTTTTATCTCTTCGAAGCTGGGCTCGATAGATTCTTCTTCAACAGAAGAAGAGAAGTGGTACTGGAGTGGTCCGAAACTTGTCCAAAGTCCTCCTGCAAAAAAATAACATGATCTAATATGTATTAAGAATTTCAAGTATAGTTCTTACGATTAATTTTTAATACAACATATTTCATTCAATTTTTTTTTTTTTTTTTTTTTTTTTAGTGATAAAGTGTACCAGGCGTGTAAATATGAAACTGGAATACATACCTAGCAGGCTGTCATTGTTAAAGTAGTCAAACAGCATTCTGTTTCTTCGACAGCTGGCAAAGATTTTCAACTAACAACAATACAAGTTTCATATAACATCATTTTAATACCGTTGAACATGTCGAGTTATGTTTCTATAAACTACAATTTTCGGACAGAATTAGTTTTCTGTTACTATTTAAAGAAAACTGCTGCAGAATCGCATCAAATGCTTGTCGAAATGTAAAGGTCGCGAGCATGCGCTTGGTAAATCAGAGTGCTTTGAATTGTTTAAAAAATTCAAAGGTGGCGATTTTTAGGTGAAAAATAAAGAACTTGGAAGACCTACAAAAAAAGTTAAAAAACCAGAGAAAAAAATATATATAGACAGAATTTCATCACATAAGAATCGTTGGATGAAACTCCAATCCAACAACTTGCAGATCAACTGAATGTAATACGAGAAACTGTCTCCATTTCAAAGCCATTGGGAAAATATATCAGATGGTAAAATGGGTTCCACATGAGCTAGATAAAAGACAGCAAGGAAACTTGAAAACCACCTTCGAAAAGCTGCTCACCAGGTACACAGGAAAGTAATTTCTATCAAATTGTTGCAGGTCTTGAAAGTAGATATCTTTTGAAAATTCTAAGCATCAAAGATCATGGGTAACTACAAGAGAACCATCAATATATATCGCAAGACCGATTTGCTACGTAAAGAATACTGTGTGTTTGGTGGGATCAGAAGGATGTGATCTAAACTGCTCACAAATGAATTGGGATATTACTAATCGATTCTTATTTTATTAGTTTTAATTAAAATTTGCTTTTTTTTTTTTTTTTTTTTTTTTTTTTGAGGATTCTCTTATTTTTTTTTTGTTGAGGATTCTCTTATTTTTTGGTAAACATAACAAGTGAATAAGTATTCTTTATTTTTAATAAATTATTAACTAAAGTATAGTCAAAATGAAGAATACTCATTGTGTATACCAACAGTTGTATTGGTTATTTTAATAAAGTAATATTCTGTTTAATGATGGAAAGATCATATTAAACCAGAAGTTTTGAAATATTATTGTGAGAATGAGCGTTAAGGGTACCGGCAAGTGGATATCACCGATGCAGTTGGCGTCTTCCTGAGTCTGATCTGTCGGGCTTTAGCCAGATCAGAAGTACCAATATGAGACCTGTTAGTAGACTTCAGCAGATAACGACACCAATAGGTGACAGAAATATTTTAGATACCACAAGAAGCAAAACTTTTCATAGTGTCTAACGAATGAAGTTTCTAATGTTCTGCTAAGGCCCTATTAACTCAAACCATTCATAATCGTTTGTGGGTAGTTGGTCTAACTTCTTATGCCTGATAAGACAACCTTCCTCAACATCACCTTGGGCAACTCCCCAGATTATGGTACAGTGAGCACTTAGATGAGGAAGGACTCTACTCCACATTGTGGACAGTAATCTCATAACAGTCCGTTAAGTTTAAAAAATCATAGAGGAATACATCCCTTAAACCAGAGCCATAATTACTCTAGATTTTCATTTTCTTGATGACAATGCACGATCTCATAGAGGAAAATTTGTTCATTAATGTTTTTAAACCTGGGTATTTTACATCTACCCCATCCTCCAATGTCTTCAGGTCTAACTTGATACCACTGAGCATATGTGAGATGCACTGCATAGGTTTTTGAGCACCATTCGAATCCTCTTGACTTTCACAAGTGGTAGATCACAAAAAGCATTAATTTTATTGTTTTTTTACAATACCTTTTATACGGTTTCCTGATGTCAAACACACATCTTCTTAGTATTAATTTTCAATGCATTTTATAATAAAAATTCTAGAGAAAATAAATCGTTCACAATTAACAATATCCCTCTTCATTTTTTAGTAGTATATTACGAGCTGCTAAAACGACCAGAATATCAAAAAAGACAACACAAAATGATTTTTCTTCATGATAATACACAATCACACACATCAAAAGCGGTGAAGGAAATTATTGAGGCCTTCAGTTGGGAAATATTAGGGCATATGGCTTGGCTCTTTCCGACTACTGTTTACATACATTGATGACGGACTTGCTCAGCAGCGCTTCATTATGAAAATTTACAGAAATGATTATTGGTACACCACAAAAGAGCAACAGTTTTTCCGACATGGCATTCATAAATGGCCAGAGATATGGGTAAAATATATAGCAAGCAATGGATTATATTTCGAATAACATTTTTGTGCAATAAAGGTGTACTTTACGGAAATTCCAGATTGATATTTACACACCTTGTAAAAACAATATAATAATTTTGTTTATAAATAATATAAAATTAACAGCATTGCTGGTAAGTTTTTATAACTTTCTTTTTTCCATCTGTTATTATTACCTCATAGTCTGTGATACAGGCCCCTTTTTATCAAATTATTAACATCCGTCTGAAACTTCATAAATAGTTCCATCTCATCATAACCTACAACTATTTTATTTACAATCTGGAAGGGGACAAACTTTGTCTATTTAATGAGGCACTAAAAATTTGTATATACCCATTTGCTTTCTACTTTGATCATAAGTTAATTTGATCACAAAATCGAGACAAAAAGTGGCCTACAAAAATATTGGGCCATTAGTCCTATATAACCTCGTTATTATGAAAATTTGGGGGTGTAGGTCATGCCAAAAGGCTAAATATTTTTTAAGGCTACCTTTTTTCTCGATTTTGTGATCAAATTATCTTACAAGAAGAAAGCAAATGAGTATTTATGAGTTTTAAGTAGCTAATTAAATAGATAAAGTTTGCCCCCCTCCAGATTGAAAACTCCCCAATTCCAAGAGTTATCATAAATAACATAGCTGCAGGTTACAATGAGATGAAACTATTTACGAAGTTTCAGACGGATGTTAATAATTCGATAAAAAGGAGTCTGTACCACGGACTATCATCTTTAATCACAACATAACAAGGAACAATGAAGATAATGAAAAAATAAAAAGAATATTTAAAATTCTGAAACATACCTGGTTTCAGCATATTATAAATTTGTTCGATATACTGAACAATGTTATTGGCACAATCGATGAAAAAACAAGTTGCTACACAATCCCAATCGTTCTCTTCAGTATAGACCTACAAGAAAAAAACAAAACAATATTAATAATCATAAATTCTGATTATAAACTATAATTTTAAACAAAGGAAAAGCTTCTAAAATATTGACCAAGCTAAATTAAGATGCACCATTTAAGTTACCTAGATTAAAAGAGAAAGAAAATTAAAATGTTTCAACAATAAAACTACTAAAAAAATATTAATGAAAATTAACTGAAATAGATGGTTAGAATGGTGGCCCGAGAGAGTTTCTTATCGACTACCAAAGGTAAGTGAAGGTAAAGTAGACAGAAGAGTTATATAGTAGTAGGTATCTGAGTCTTAAAATAATATAAAATTATTTGAACATTTTTTTATTTTCTTCCAGCTGTTACCAGCAGTATGTAACATGGGTGTGGCAAGAAGGGATGACCACTTTATCTCTTCCTCATTAGAAAAAAATATAAATAAAATAGAGGGCATCTTCAACATGGTAAATTTAAATTTAGAAAATAGCTCCCGTGTTTTCAGCTGGCTATTCTCTTGGTGTGCAACAAGAAATTGAGTATGTTCATTAATAGAAAGTTATATTTACAGGAAGATATACAAAATGTGGCTATTAAATAATTAGATAGAGTAAAACTTTTTAGAACATGTGTCGATTATAACCTGAATAAAAATTAAATTAATTAATTAATTAATTTAAGTAGTAGGCCCGTGCGAAAAATTCGCACAGCATATTGTTATAAAATGCCAAATTAATAAAAAAAATGCAACGTATCAAAAGATAAAGAAATCAATTGTTACTATATCGATAAATATAATCGACAAAGGAAACAAAAATTAATTTTAATCTTCATTAATGTTTGGAACCAACATGTTTACAAATTTCAATAAGCTGTATCTTTTCTAAAAATTGTTCGATTTCGATAATTTTTTTTCCTTTTGTTCCTTCATTAATATTTAGTAATCTTTTATATAATCATGGCATAACCCAGGAAAAAGTGTGTATTTTTTTAGTTACTTGCAAATGAAGTTTGTTTCCTTTCATAACTTGTTTGCCTGAATTTTCAGAGTGATTGGACTATTTTGCCCGCCTGAAGGAGAAAGAAGCCTTCAAAATTGGTGGCTCAATCTTAATATTTGGTGAAGAATTAACAATGATATGGCTTGCCGATCAAAAACACCATCGATAAATAATATAAACTATCTCACCACATAAATTCCATTAAATAATCAGAAAGTTTTTCTCTTGCAACTCCTTTAATTTTTTTTTATACTTAATTTCTGTTTGGCGCAATAAGACTCAACATTTTGTGTATGTGTTTCATCACCTGGTTTCACAAAATTTACAGAATGATTGACGATTTTATGAATGAATCCTAAATCACGCCATTCATCTGATTTGATGATTGTTTCAGGTCTACAGATCTTGTAAATTATCAGGAGAAGTGTCTGCTAAGTCCTATCAGGTACGATTTGCGTATATCCTATTGCTGGTGTTCTGTTTGTATCTACGATTCCAAATACCCATAAAGGCTCTTTTGGCTTATATCCACGGTTATATTTTGCTTTATGAGTAAAACCGTGATTCATTTATCTGATATTTTACATTAGTACAACCAAGTATTACGGCTTTACTAGAAATCTCATTTACTACCACTTTTCTTACTTTACAGGGAGCGGGGTAGCTCAGTGGTAGGACACTAAGCTTCCAATGCCCGGCTTATGGAAGAAAATTTATTTTCTGTTTCATTGGCCGTGGGGCGACCCTGGGGTAGGGAGACCCTCCTGGGGCACACCCAGCCTCTACAATGTGGGTACCTTTAATTAAATAATTGATTAAGGGGGAAAACCTGGCAGTTGAGCCTGATCCTGTCCCGATCCCCTCCCTCCATAACTGTTGGCCTTGTAACAGTACTTTCCCTAAATAGTATTGAACCCAAGACCCTTCATGGGTTGTAGTGGTACAGGTTTTTTTTTTTCTTACTTTACAATAAACCTCTCCAATTGCTTTGCCACTAATATTTACGAGGTTTTTGGCATCTGATATTGATATTTCTCGAGACCAAATATAAATAAATACCTATACAACATAATTTTGCTTTCATTAAGCAAAGAATCATACCTTACTAAGGTTGTTGTAGTGTATATCACACTCTATATTAAAACACTTCCACACAAATTTATCAAGTCTTTTTTTACAAGGCATGATTCTTCAATCGTGTAAGAATCATATTTCAAACACTTCATATCAGAATGTAACAATCCTAATTCTTGGAGCTTTCTAATTTGTTCTAGTGGTGTAGCTCAGGAAAATGGTTCAATTATTTCTTCCTCAAAACAAATAGCCATGGGTTAGAATATTATTTCTTATCATTTGTTGATTATAAACAGGCAGGCACACATTTATTTATTATCACCTTCAATCAAAACACTTCCTCTATCCCGACAATGCTCCATGTGAATCTTCCACTGTCTGAAACGTTGCTGGAAGTCTTCTGTCAGCTCCTTCAGGACATGTGCTGTTTTCTTTTTCAGCAACAACGTGAATGTAATAATGTTGATTAATAATATGATCTTCAGGATTCCAGTGGAGGTACACAATCCCATGAATTAATGAATGAAACCAGGTTCTTTCAGTGCATGGATTGATGCTTCGTTTCAGGATCATTAGTAAAAATACATGATTCCGAATGATGCATTAAAAGGAACAAGATTTGAGTCAGTTGAAGCTGTGGAAGAGAAAACAGCACGCATCCTCAAGTAGCAGACAAAAGATTTTTAGCACCGTTTCAGATAATGGAAGATTCGCATGGGGCATTATAGGGATAGTAGAGGGCTGTATATTAAAGAAGATAATAAATAAATATGTATACAATTAAAATAAAATGTTTTTAAGCAAGCATCAGTCTCATTATTTAATAAGCACATTGAGAAGACCAAAGCATCTTAATTCTATTTCTTATTGTCCCTTACTCTGCATTAATGGCCTACCTATTCATTTCCACTCTTGTGTTACAAAACCTACAAATCATTTATATATATATATATATATTCATAGTTCTGGAAAAATGAAAAATAAATCACCAAAGAGCAAAAGAAAAAACAAATGAACGATTTGACCACTTAATGGTGTGATTGTTTTTAGAACAACGTTTCAAAACTGGCAAACAAATATCTGGAGATCTTGGAAATAGCAATCTGGTTACATGCGACTATATACCGTCAATCCAATACCCTTCCTACCTTTAAATCCCGACTGTTCAATCATTTCTTATCCATCCAGTCCCCTTAAAATAGTAAATAGATACTACTGTAAATATGTATATAAATTATTAGTTCGTTCTTCATTATTTTTACTCCATTTTTTTTTATTATTAACTGATCAAAATTAGAAAGTAACTTATATTATTATTACTCTATATTTTTTTGTATGTATCTCTGAGGCTCCTTAGCCCACATTTCTGTCTTGCTGTATTATTCTAAAGGGACTCGTCCCAGAATATATAAAGTATTATTATTATTATATTTATCTATATATATAAACCTATTTTCAGTAAATTTTGGACAACCATAATTTCCAAATTATCTAAAAATATATTGCTATCCTCAAACAATTCCTGAGATTCAATAATTTTAGGCCCCTTAAAACTTGTCAGCTTCTGTTTTCTCTCCAAATTGTCTCCACTTCAAATATGGCTTGCTTGTTTGCGAAGGACTTTCTGGTGTGCTCGAGATTAGACTGAAGAGACTAATGAATTGTTTCATTAGAATCATCTTTGGAGCTCCTAGGCACTACAGATTCCACAACACCGCAACATAGTAGAAATAATCGACATTGAGATTTTATTCATTATCATCATTAAATTAACAGACAAACAATTTTTTAAAATAATTAACATAAAAATATATACAAGAAGATATTGACAGTACCAACACCTGGGCAGCGAGCAATGATTTAAAATTGAATTTTGAGAGGACCAAAGCCATTCTCATTGGATTTAAGCACCAGATTGACCTCATTCCTTATTATCCTCCACTCTATCTCAATGGGATACCCATACGTTTCCACACTTCCACAAGAAACCTTGGGGTAATCTTTGATCAATATCTGTCCTGAAATAATCACATTTCTCAAATTATCCGAAAGTCCATTGCTACTCTCAAAGGGTTCCTGAGATTCCGTGACGCTATGCCCCTTAAAATCCTTCAGCTCCTAATTTCCTCTCTCATTTTTCCTCACTACGATTATGGCTGCCTTGTACGGTGGACTGTCTGGTGGGCTTGAGATCAGATTAAAGAAAATAATGAATTGTTTCATTAGATTTATACTTGGAGTCCCCAGGCGCTCCCACGTCTCCAGTTGCTATGCCGAGTTGAAGTGGCTCTATCCAGTTTTCCGACGGCAATATTTCCTAGGTGCATTCCTTTTCTGAACCTTTACAACAAAAAAAACCTTCTTACCTTCTTGATTTCTTTGCTCCTACTTCCTCTGTCCATTCGTTCAACACGAGATCCCAACCCTCAAACCTATTTATTCCTTCTCATAGAACAGTTTGCTTTAAAAATTCCTTCATCATACGTGCTACCTCCTTTTGGAATCCCTACCAATCTCCATATGGAAATCCTCATCCTTGATCTCATTTAAACACCATTTATTTTTCGATCTCCTCAGTAATCAATCTTCCAAATATATGTAAAAATAAAGTTATCTTGTATTTTAGAGAAGTCAGCTACATTATACCGATATCTTGCAGATATCTATGTATGTGCCAAATTGCTTATTTGTACAAATACGTGAACTCAATATGTATTTATCTTTAAATTCATATGTCTACTTCAAGATTATATATTTATTACAGTGTCTTTTCTTTATTTTTAATATTAAGGTTAGACAACTTTGTAAATTAATTTATTTTTAATTTTCATTTTATTATTTATAATTGCCAGACAATTGTCATTTCGTTGTTCATTATAGTTATTCTGAGGGGACTAAATGTCCCAGAATAAAATTTACTCTCTTTCTTTTGCTTTCATAGAAATTGCATCACCTTTTCTTTTGATTCTTATGTTGATAACGTTATTCAATTGAATGGTTTTCTTTTTCTTTACTTATTAAGGCTACAAGAAAAGTTTACTAATGTTTTTCAGTTCAGTTTTAACTAATGCAATGAGAAACACTGTAATTATGAGCTGTATCAAAAACTGTCCTCATCAAAAAACAATAAAATTGTGACGTTAAATGAAGTAGAGGAATCTTCACTCAGTAGTAATGAGGATAGGATACTACCAATCAACGATAGTAACAGTGTTGAGAGAGAGAAAAAAAAATGGAGCGAAAGAAAGAAACAAGAAGGAGAAAAAACAAACGGACAATTTTACATCTTATAATGGTGCGATTGTTTTTACAATATCATTTCATAACTGGCAAAGAAATATCTGAAGAGATCTTGCAGTAGCAATCTGGTAAATAAAATAAAATTTTCACTGGGTGATGCAATTTCTATGGCTGTGATTGTAATATACTTAAAGAAAACTTCAATTCTTTAAAACTCATCAATGAATGTGGAATAGTAGATTGAATTATACATCGTAGTTGATAACCTAAAGCCATAATTTATAATTTGCTTTACACCAGCTGATATTTGAACATTAATGATTCCTATTAGTTTTTCTTCCATTAATGAAAACCATCTGTGTTCATCCCTCTGAATTCTTTCAGGATGTCTTATGACTCTTGGAAAAATTCTGGACTGTTTCAATAGCATCTAATAGAAAAACACAACAATAAAGAAATTAATGAAATGAAATTAATGTCTTTTTTTTACTCCTTATGTTCGAATAATAAATTAAACACATCCATTACTAATTCATTAATTTTTATATTCACTTATTTATAAATAATTTGGAATAAATTGGTATGATTTTTCAATTAACGAGAGAAAAAAAGCTAATATTGTTGTCCTAATAATTTAATTAATTTTTTTTCTAATAATTTTTTATATACTAATATAATTTATTTATTATTACTATATTCTTACATTGACTGAAAACTTCAACCAACTTATTTCTAAATATCTTCAACTATTATCCACTACCAATAAATAAAATATATCGTAATACATATGTGCTTGTACCAGCCGAAACATAGCAATGAAAATTAAAATAAATACGGTGAAAAAAACAAACAAAATAAATAAAATAAAAAATAAATAGAGCCTTATTTTATAATATATAGTAATTATAAAATACTAGGATGGTACCCCCTCCAAGACCAACTGCCATTTTACAAATTATACTATGAATGTTTATTTAATTATACTACTTATTGCTCAAATTTTATAAGTGTAATTTACATATATTCTGTAGTTCAGATTGTATTATTTATTTTTAACACAAAGTAAAAGGAACAAAACCACAGTTCTGATTTTTTTTTTTTTTAAATGAATATTATACATTGTGCCTTATTGCCATTGCCAATTTATACTATTATAAAATTATAATTATTCTTATTGCCAATTTGTAAACATAATAGGGGAGAAATAATTGTAGGAATAAGAAGTGTGATGTCTTCATTATGGTCCGTCCCAATTTATAAATGTAAAATATAACATGACAGTCACTAAATTTTTTTTTTATATAATAGAGAGATATCAACTAACCAGAAGTGCTAGTTTATATAATTGATTTTACACTTTGTTAAGATTTCCACAAAAATGGTTGTAATATTAGTTTTGAGCTGCTCCGTGATCTAATGTAGTCATATCATTAGAGTGCTACCATTGGGTAGTTACTCAGCAAGTGTATTCATGTCATTATATCTATTATGTCCAAATTTACTAGATTTATTTATGCAATACAGTTGTAAATGTCATTAAGAAATAAAAAAATAAAAAGTTTTGAGCTAAGTACGAATGTCTGCAGTGTAATTGTATTATTAATTTTAGGTTTTGAAATTAACAGACATGCAATAAAAATTAATGAGAAGCATTAAACTATGATGTTGAGAAAGTAGGAGGGGAGACATAGTCCCAAAACGTCGACTAATTTTATTTTGCTACCTAATAAAAAAATTGTCTTTTTGTTTGTTTTTTAAAAATGAACAAAAGATTATGTTATGATTTAATACCTCAGTAAAATCCCCAGCGGTCATTGAAAACCTAGACGTCCCGTGGAGAGAATACAAATCTGATGGATCACAGTCAGGAAAGCTGACCTTCTTAAACTGGTCCTCCGAACTCAGAATATTGTCTAACTGATGAACCCAAGGGTACAGCTCATTTCCACCAGCTCCTAGGCAACTGCAACAGACAATTTATATTTTTATTAATTTGTTGCCTATAGGTCAGTATAATAAATAATTACATTTAGTTTTTATTATTTATTAGTTTCGGGAAATCTCTGTCCTCCTCTTCAGCTGCTATATGTCGATAACAAGTATTTTCCTCTCTCTAAACAAATCTTAACATCTCCTCTCTTGGCAAGAAAAAAGGATATTTTTCAAGTGTTGAATTACAGCAATACAGCAAGAACATGGCTGCCAGCAGTAGCCAATTTTCAATATTAATACGATTCTCCATGAGATTTATAGGCTAAGCATCAGTGGGGCGCTCTGAGATATATTTTTGGAAATGACCAAAAAAGAAGTTATTTATAATTTTAAATAATTAAAATTGTATTAACATACTTGTTCAGTATAAAATTCGAAGCCATCAGCATGTAAAATGAAAATTCATTCCCTTGGCAAGTGAAACCACGTTTTGCTACTTCAAAAGCAAGACGTCCTAAACCAGCTCCAGGTATCAATACTTTAATATCTGCTCTGTTGCTGTAATAAAAATTTAAAAGAAATTTTATGATCGCAATACTTTCCCTTACTATACATTATATTTATAGGTAAGTGAAAGTAAAAATCATGTGATGATCCATATAACTAATAATAATCAATTAACACCAGTTGATTTAAATATCTCAACATGGGCCTTGACATCAATGCTGAAATTTGTATTTAAATTAACTTTCTATTATGTAAATAATGACAAAAAAAATAAATAAATAATAGTGATTTGTATTGAAGTATTGTTTACATTATAGCAACTGCTAAACACCGTACACTGAATAAATGAACAGATAATCCTGTTTGATAGCCATTTGTACTAAGCATTAAAGATTATATTCTTTCGATTAAACTTTTATCAATTACTAAATTAATAGAAAATGAAAAATGACATGTGCCCTTTCATTAAAGTACTGCAACAACAGTGTTAATATCATTTTAGCTTTGGCTTCATTTAGAAAATCAAGATTCATAATGGGATATTAATATCCTTATATTCTCAAGTATGCTATATTTTTACCATTCGTGTTCAGGAAAATATTTTTCGATTTCTTCGATTATTGGTCTATAGCATTTATCCCTTTCAATTGCACCTTCCACAGTCCAATCTCGATAAATTTGTTTTATCGTTATGTTAACTTTTTCTATATCTTGATTTGTAACACTTCTTTTCTAAAAAAAAAAATCTCTATTGAAACAGCAATAATAATAAGGGACGGTTGAACCAAAATAAAAAAATTAAGATTTAAATAAGAACACATAATTAACACGATATGTATAAAAAAAAAAAGAAAAAAAAAGGAGGCTCAATATTTTTCAACATTATATTGAAGATCATTAGCCGATTAATATTTTAATTTAATAAAAATATTGGGTTAGCAAATAAATTCTTTCGGTTTTTCAGGGTAAAATAAAACTCAAGGTTTTATAGATATAAAATTTATTTTAATCTACAATATATTGACCATTATTTAATATGACTTTTTCCCATCTTTCCACTAAATGCATAATGCCATGTTCATAGAATGCAGTTTATTGTTTAAAAACTGATCCAAGTGGTTTTTGATGTCCTCTTCCTTTTGGAATTTCTGCAGAGACCGGAATAAATGGTAGTCACATCGAGCAAGGTCTGGTGAATAGGAACGGCTGGGCAAAAGGTTCCATTCAAGGCTCAATAATTTATTGCGAGTGACCAATGAAGTGTGCGGCCTAGCGTTGTCTTAGTGGAACACAACACCATTCCGATCATTCATAACTCTTCAGGATGTTCCCCAAATACTATATCTGTTGAAAAGCTGAATTATTGCTATTTAAAGGAGTATTAATGGTTTTTTTTTATTAATAGCTACATAAGGAATAAATAAACAAAAACTCATGTCATTTTGTATAGTTTCTGTGGCTCTAAATTCCTTGTAGATAGCTAAAGTCGTATTGAAATTATAATTTGTTTTTGTGATTTTTGAAAAAAAAAAATCATTTGAGAGACCCAAACATTAAGCCTAGAAACATAGCCAAGCTTGTGCAAATGGTTTTCTAGGCTTGTGAACGACACATTTAGGGCCATAGCAATCTCTCGCACTGATTAGGAAGGATCAACAATGGCCTTAACATGAAATTTGGCAAACCAATTTTGACTGGTGCATTCGGTTAAGGCATCATCTCCATAAACACTGCAAATTTTTCTATGAGCTTCTGCAGCACACCAACCTTTTTTAAAACAAAATATGCCGATAATGAATATTTTCTTCCAAATTCACAGTGCAATAGCAAACACAATACTAAGCTAGTTTTAACAAGAGTTGACAGATATAGTTGTTGACATATTACAAACAGGATAAATGCCATCCACCTTAGGGATTATTTCATTAGATAAGAAGTGTATCATAGTGATATAAAAATAAATAGGAAAAGCGAAAGGACATATTTGCCAACCCAATATATAATTCTTTAAACCATTAACAAAATGAAAATTTAACTTCCATGACGTTTTATTATTTAAATTGTTTTACGGCAAGCAACAACTATGTTAAAATAAAATAAAAAGTCATATATATACACATATATTAATCTTATTAGTTAAAACAACACTTTATTAATAATAATAAAACACTCATTGATCACATTAGTCCTACTTTATTTTTTTCTCCACGTCAATGTTTCAGACCTTAGATCATTACAATGGAAGAAAACTATTTTTAAAATTAAATTCAATTCATATGGACAGAATTGCCGTTGTCACTGTAAGGCTAATAAAAGAATGTTATGTTATAGCGACAAGAGCAATTTGGCTCATATGAATTCAATATTATTTTAAAAAAAGGTTTCTTCTCTTGGTAATAGCCAAAGGGCTTTTTACATTTAAAATTGGTACATATAAGCATTAATCAATAGGTACATATAGAAAATATTTAAAATTAATTTTACAATGGAATGTCAAATTTACATCAGATCGACAAAATTGGCCAAACCGTAATAAAAAAAAATACAAATTAAATTAAATGCGATTAAAATACAAAATCAAACTAATTATTGATTTATTAACTTTCAATGCAAAAATTGGTTTAAAAGTGTAATCAACTTTAACAATTTGGGAACTAAAAAATACGATGATCATAATTATATGATTACATTATCAACATTATATGATAGTTAATATGCCAACATCAGATGATCATCATTCGGGTTTATTGTTTCCTGTAACCCTCTCTAAATTGACATTTAGGTTATAGTAGTCTCAATGACAAAGGTTTGAATTTAAATTGAAGTTGAGTAATCATTCTACGATTGACACATAAAAACATAATATCTGGGCCTGAGCTTATTGTTAAAAATAGAATTATAATATCATATTAAAACAATTAATAATACCTGCCCAGCAACTGGTTTATGATTAACATTTTCAAACATTTGTTCCACATCTCGAATAATTAGTTTAATGATAGTGTCATTGTGATCAATACATTCAGCAGCTTTTTCTAATCTTCGTTTGTATTTAAGTAATAACTGTTGTTGCCTTTCAGATAATGTACTCAAATACCTCAAACGTTTAAAAATAACTGCTCTGTTGAAAACTCTACCAACAAAAATATGGCAAACATCAATATTATAACAACCAGAGTAAAAGAAAATTGAGAGACATTTTTACCTGTAAGCTTTAAATGAGTGAATAATTTTATGAAAATGTTCTCTTTCCTGTTCACTATGGATATCACCCTTATCTTCCATTATAAGTAATTTAAACATTAAACTTTAATTGATGTAACTCATAAGGAAGAAAAAGTTCATAGAATCAGTTAACTGATGGTAACAATCACATTAATATTGTATTTAGTTTCTTTCCATTATTAAATCCATTATTTTTTTTCAAATTCGTGTTTGAATAATCTTGAACGTAAGGGTCCCACCAAAAATCTATGTTATCCCAACAAAGAACTAACTACTGAGTAAAGTGTCCACTTAAAACAATTAGGAGTACTTGGAACAAACGTTCTTACCCTGATAATGAGTACCCATAAAAAAAGATAATTTAATTTAATTATTGAATTTTCAAATAAAATTTATCTTATTTTAAAATATGATTAGTATACTTATTATCTTTTATTAGTCCGTAAATCAGAAATTATCCAAATTCTGTTTCACATTCAGGAGCTATTATAGTTTTATTTTAACAAATATATAAAATTAATGATTATGAACAATTTAAGTTTTGTTATTCTTCTAAGACACAGGACCGAGGGAAATATTCGTGATCTATTTTCATGAGAGACCATATTTCCTTCATCCACCTGCTTATGCCTATTAACGTCCATTTAAAAACCCTGGGTTAAACAACGCTATGATTTATATATTATTCAAATAGTGAAATAATGCTAATCTCTCACAATAAAATTTCTAATAATTCCGTTCTATATATATATATATATATATATATATATATATATATATATATTTTTTTTTTTTTTTTTTATTCCTTCTTCCTACCATTTCTGGAATATTTTTTTTTTCTTCTGATATCTGATCAATCAAGGTAAACCTACTCTTTATTCTAATATTCTGCATTTGCCTGAAAATGGAGCTTTTAAGCTTCTATTTGGTATCATTGGTGAGATCTTTCCAGAAATTGACAATGCCTTGTATCTAAGACAAAAGGAGTAGTTGATGTGTCCGGTAATCTTTTCCTAGAATCTATTCCTAATTACTGTTTATACGCGTCTTGTTGTCTAAAATGTGAACAGGTTTTATGGAATTTATAATAAAAATAGACTTTTAATGACAGGTATAAACTTAAGCAATTGCAAGGTAAAAGTAGTTTTTCTGATGCTGACGTATCGAGATCGAAGTCATCAGGTGTCGAAACGGGGGTGATACAGAAGGTATTAGAAAACCTACAACAATGACTATCTAGTAAAGTAACAGAAGAGGTTTAACTAGGTTTATATAGACTTGATCGGTGGGTCAAAGTTCCTCTAATACAGAAATCGACAGGATGAATACTATAACTGTAGAATATCATTAGCCACCCGTTTTATGGAGGTACGGACGGATTTTCGAGACCCCATATGCAGGAATATAATTCTATATACGGAAAGTATTTGACTCCTGGCATTTTTTCTGGCATTAAGAGAGTGTGAAAGAAATAATGACGAAAGGCATCAACCCTTTGAACCTGTACATAGGAGTAGGAAGGATGGTTTAAATGCTAAGTGAAAATTATAAATGAAATACCATTTGAAAAAAAAGAATTACGGATTAGTATGATCAGCTTAAAAGAAATTGCGAGGGTGACTTAGTCCATGAATGCAAAGCTTCAGGGTTATTATCATATGAGATGAACACCTAGTGGAGTTTTTAATTATATTTTAGCTTAGATTTTCTATATGCCATAGCTTTATTGTACCTAAAACTAATAAAAAAAAACATGAGTCTTCTTAGGTTCAGTACTTTGTTAGAGAGTACGGTTTCATGCAGAGAGATGATTATGCCAGGATCACGCTCTGCCACCAGATTTTTCTCGTAATTAACTATTTTTAAATAAGAGTATCCACTTTATAGAGGCTGTGTGTGCCGCAGGGAGTCCCCCAACCCCAGGTTGATCCATGGCTTAAGAAAAATTACCAGTCACCAACTGGATTTGAATCCGAGACCTAGAAATGTTAGTAGCCCTGTGCTTACTTACTGAGCTACTCCGCTTCTCTTAAAACTAATAATAACGGAAGATAAAAATCCTGTACCACCAACAACTCATGAAGGATTATGGGTTCAGTACAATGCGATGAAGTACTGTTACAAGTTGTGCAGGGAGGTGACGGGCCAATATCACGCTCAACTGCCAGGTTTCCCTCCTTAATTAATTATTTAATTAAGAGTACCCACTTTATAGAGGCAGAGCTTGCCCCAGGAGGGTCTCTCGGCCCCAGAGTCGACCAACGGCTGATGAAAATTTACCAGTCATCAGCCGGATTCGAGCCTGGGACCTTGAGCTCTTGAAGTCAGTGCTCACCCACTGAGCCACCCCGCTCCCCTACGCAAAATATAAAAACTTTATTTATTAAAAAATCAATAAACCTATGAACCAATAAAATATATGGTCGATTCAAGGTGCCTTTAAACATTTCACGAACTAGAAACACAATCATTTAACTAGACTAACACTGACATTTGCGTTAAGCCAAACTTTTTTTAAATTTCTCTATTCGGCGACAACAGATAGAAAACATCAAAACTAGAAACAAACACACTAGCATAGGGAAACAACCAAACAACCATTTAGATAATTGTTTTTCTCTTAGTTTATGAAAAGTCTAAACGCACCTTTAGGGTTTATCACTCAGAAGAAGGCAAAAAAAATTATTTTATTACTATATTAAATCTTTTATTAATATTTGTTGGTCACTTTTCAGCAGGAATTAAAGATACTGTTGCAATATCTCGCCTGATTTTTAAGTCAATTACGTTAGAATTTTGTTCCTTCCCTCAGTAATGTCAATTTAAATTATAGAAATTAAAAAGAGTATGTTTTTTTGCTTGATCCTTCAGATTTTCACAGATATTGTAAGAATTAATATATAGTGACTAAGGCAGGGTTATCATCCATTTCAGTACATTGTAGAGGGCCCGCATCTTAGTTATTCAAGTCGTGTGTATAGGATCATTTTTTTGTTGAAAAAAATATAATTTTCTTTTCCATCAATTTTTTTTTTTTTTACTATTTAGGAAGTTTCTTTTGTCAACATAAGGAAAACGGTAACTCTTGGGCATCAGCAAGTTAACTTCATTTGCTAGTTGGATTACCGAAATTTTGTCACCTTCAATAAGTTTTATAGTATTTTGAAAAAGAGCTGCTTGATTGTGTACAAACTGCTGGCACAAAATATCTTAGTCATAAATACTGTGTTATTAATGAAGTCATAAGTTAGACATCAAATTATTCGCTCTTAAAAATACGTCATTAGAACTACATTATCCATCTTATTTCAGTTGAATACTATGTTACTTGAATATATTTGGACCATATTATCATTATGTAAAATTAATTATTGTAACAACAAATTCGGAATATTGTTTGGATCAAATATTTAATCCAGAACTCCTCCCTGGAGCCAGGTCAATGGTGTTCTGCTTTACCAATGTTAAAATCTGGTCACTTTACTTAGATATCATTTCATGCTGTTTCTTTCTTTTATCTACAGTATTTAAAGTAAAAAAAAAAAAAAAAATCCTGAATCCGCTACTGCTTCTTATAATAACAGTATTTTTTAAATTAAATATTTTAGTTCAGATGAACAAATACTGTTGACCCACAATGTACATCACTATTTCACCGATGTTGATATCAATTGATTAAATATTTGTCAGAGGGATAAATATGATGTTTTAATCATTCTGATGTATGAATGAGAAAGATTTTTTTATATTTAGATAAGTTAGCAGAAAATACTATTTATTCCTCTATGGTAGACAACTGACATGTAAACCTAACCTGAGAGAAATTACCTTTTAACAAGTTGTCACGTGCAGTTTTTGTTTGTCGTGTGTATATATTTTTTATACTAAGGTGTTGTAGTTAACAAAAATGCCTATTTATAATTTTAAGAAAATAACAGTCGTTCCGACTGCCAAAGTAAGTGTTATTGACTTCTATATGTAGTTATTTTTTACTTTTCATGCTATCTTTACTTATGATTTGCAAGACTTTATTATTTATTTTAATATTTTCAGGATTTTATAGACATAATACTGTCTAAAACTCAGAGGAAAACACCTACTGTTGTGCATAAACATTATAAAATATCAAGAATTCGTTCATTTTATATGAGAAAAATTAAATATACTCAACAAAATTTTCATGATAGGCTGTCTATGATTATTCAGGAATTTCCTAAATTGGATGTAAGATTGTTTTCTTTTCTAACATATTTTTAGTTTTATTTGTACATTTATTATTAAATTAATTGGTTTTTGATTTGCCGTTATAATTAATATATATGTTGATTTCAGAGTGTCCATCCATTCTTTGCAGATTTAATGAATGTTCTTTATGATAAAGATCATTACAAATTGGCTTTAGGTCAGTTAAACCAAGCAAGACATTTAATTGACAAGTAAGTTGATTTGTTTTTAATTCCCATTGTTTTGTTTTAATTAATTATTTCAAAAGCAATAAAAAGGCTGAAGTAAGCATTGGCAGTAAAATGTTATTAAAACATTGTTGATTTTATTGAATTCGGAATCTTGAACTATGGTGCAATTGTCTATTAATTCTTAATTTTGTTTTTCTTCTGACTGTATACCTTAAAAGCAATATTTGTTACTAGTTTCAAGTGTCTAATCTGGTTGACAGGTGGGTCAATTTGGCAATAATCACATGGTACTTGAAATTCCTTAAGTTGCCAAGTATATCTAAATAAATGGACAGGTAATCGATCGTAGATTATGTCCCGAACTTAAATGAAAAGGACCTGTTTGAGTTTTGCTTATTTCTTGAGCAAGCGTAGTGAGCCCGATACCCATAGATCAAGGTGGCCAACACTTGGCTACTTTTGGAGTTTGAAATTGCTTGATACTTTTGAACTAGTACCTAATGTTTTATTTTAAGTTTATCTTGGGCTATAATCAGATGCCTCTTTTTCTATTTTTTATATTTATAGTCATATACAAATTTAAATATTATTTCTGTAAAAATATAGTTTGGGTATATTAGAATATATTTTAGTAATATATAATATTGATAAATCAGTAAGACTTTCAATGATTTTGCATCAAGACTCCGTTAAGGCATTGAGAGCATACTAGTCTATGTTTTAAAGCCCTAAATTGTTCTGTTTTTGAGATAAACCATAATTTTTGGCAAAAGCTTCTTAGGTTTTAAATATTAAATTATTGTTATTTATTTTAGTTGATAGCAAACTTAAAATGAACGATAGAGAAAAGTTTCAGAGATCTCTAGGGCATCTCAGATAATATCGAAAAAAACTTTCTGACATTTTTAGTTTTAAAAAACATTAATATTCTTGGTTGTTAATATATTTTCTTCTTAATAAGCTTTAGATCTATTAATAAAGAATCTTGCTCTTTTGTACCAATCTCATAAGTGTGTACAATGCTGGATTAGTAAAAGTTAATAATCAGCTGACTCGAGTTGCTTAAACATTATACTAAAGGGGTATTTTACAATAGTGCTTATTAAGTATATTGTTGCTTCAAAAGTCTTGATTGTGTATGTTTCATAGACATTATTAATATATAATGATTTTTGTAGGAATGAACTTGTTTCCCTTTATTAATCACTTCAATTTTAAATCTGTTCATGATAAGAAATATAGATATGTAATGTTAAAGTTTTTACTAACTATTTAATTTTTGTTTTGTTTTTAGTGTTGGAAAGGATTATTTACGTCTTCTGAAGTTTGGAGATTCTTTATATCGGTGTAAACAGCTAAAACGTGCCGCATTGGGAAGGTATAATTTTCTTGCTACTATTTTTCTTGGTTAATTATTCTATGAATGGTTTGTTATGTTATGCTAAATTCATATTTTATCTAGAATGGCCACTATAATGAAAAGACAAGCTTCAAATCTTGAATATTTAGAACAAGTTAGGCAGCATCTTGCTCGATTGCCTTCCATTGATCCATACACCAGAACGATAATTATATGTGGCTTTCCAAATGTAGGAAAATCCAGTTTTATCAATAAGGTAAAAATAGTAAACTTTAATTTAGTTCTGTGAGGAGCCTCTGTTTCATAAAATTTAATTTTTATTTTATATCTGTAGGTTACACGTGCAGATGTTGAAGTTCAACCTTATGCTTTCACAACAAAGTCGCTATATGTTGGTCATACTGATTATAAGTATCTGAGATGGCAACTTATTGATACACCTGGTATACTTGATCATCCATTAGACGAGCGTAATATAATTGAAATGCAGGCAGTTACAGCACTTGCACATTTAAGAGCTGCTGTTTTGTATGTAATTGATCCGTCTGAACAGTGTGGACACTCCCTAGAAGACCAAGTTTCATTGTTCAAGTCTATCAAACCTCTCTTCACTAATAAGGTAATTATTATACATATAAAAAAGTGGAAGCGTAGTAGCTCAGTTAGTTACTGGGTACTGGGTTGCTAAACTCTTAGGTTCGAATCTGGCTAATGTCAAATAATTTTTCATCAGCCATGGAAGGACCTTGTGGAGATCATCCTGGGGTACACCCAGCCTCTATAAAGGAGGTACTCATAATTAAATAATTAATTAACAGAGAAAACCTGGCGGTTGACCATGATCCTTGCCAAATCACCTCCCTGCAAAACCGTTTGCCTTGAAACAATATTTCATAACAAAGTACTAAACCCAAAACCCTTTATGGGTTGTAATGGTAGGAATAAAAAAGTAATTATCAATTAGTTCACCAAAATCATACATTATCAATATTAAAATTATTTCGTAAATTGCACCTGGAAAAATTTTAGTTTTTATATGTTTTCAAAATTGAAGAATTTACTTTATTTTAAAATATTTTATTTTCAACATCATTGTTTTCTGCTATCTCATAAACTGGAATTTAGAAACATGATACATAATTTATATGTTTTTTTATTGTAATGTAAATATATTGATATTAAATATTAAAACATGGCCTGAAAGAGCAGCATTTATTCTGAAAAATGCAAAAGTATTTTCTGAAATGACTCCCGAAATTTAAAAATAGTTATTAATTGTATGAATTCAAAATGTTAAGTAATTTAACAAAATAAATGGCTTTCCTGGTATTAAAATTAAAAAGATAGAAAATGAAATCAAAATATTATTTGAAACGGGATCTGCGTTCATACAGTTTTCCAAAAACAATAGTATGCTTAATTACTGACACATGAATCTTTAATAATTTCTTTGGTGGGAGTTTTTAAGCTGATATAACACGATTATAAGTTTAAAAGTATTAGATATTTAATACTATGAACTAGACAGCGGCATGTCAGATGTAGCTGTTTTTACACTCGTGGTAGAGCTCCGTCCTCATGAATTTTCATTAACACTAACTATCTTTGCAAGTGTTATGCATCAAGAGAATTAGGGATTTTTTTGCATTTTTTATTATGTCCTAATCTTCAACGAACAATAAAAACTGAAAATTCATGCATGTACTGAATTAATTCACTCAATTTATGGCTGGTTTTTTGAATTTTATATCTGAAATATAATGTAAAATTATCTATTTATATTAAGTATCTATATCAAAACACTGAGCTGTCAGAAATAAAACAAATGTAATTTAAACTCACGCTTAATTTTGCAAATTGTATTATTAGAAATTATTAATAAGCCTAGTGATTATGAAGTGATTTAAAAGTCCTGAGTATGATCGAACTTGTATTTTCTAGTTTAAATCTGATGTTAAGTCGATCCTGAAATTGTTTGACCTTCTATTTTAAAAGTGAAAGTTTAAAAAAAAAGTGTAACTTTTTTCTTTCAGTTTATTTCCTACTTTTTTTTGTTGGAAATTATCGTTTATTTACATATATATACAATACATCACATCATAATAATGTTTACATGTTTTTTTCTACTTGTTTTTAATTAATTATTTATTTCTTATTTTCAGCCTGTTCTGGTAATTGCAAACAAATGTGACGTTTTGAAAGTAGACGAATTATCTCCTGAAAAACAGAGTTGCTTAGATACGTTCAAAGAAGCAGCGATCCCCATTCTCAGTATGAGTACGGTCACTGAAGAAGGTGTCTCTGAAGTCAAACAAGAGGTAATCATTGATATAAATGTTTTAATTTTAGTCACTTATGTTTTGCTTTATTTCCTCCTTTAATTTAAGGAAGTAGTAACTGTCAACAATTTCTGTAATTCATCATTATTAGCAAAATTTATCTGAAATTGATTAATTTAATGAAATTTTATAAAAATCTTTGAAAAGCAAAGGTTTTATTGAGTATCAAAATTAATCTGTATGGGAACTTAAAAAAACTTCTAGGTTTGACCATCTGTTTAAAGGTAGTATTTTTATATTGAAATTTGTTATTTCAAATATATTTTCAGTAATAAAAATTAAAAACTGAAAAGCAGTACACTTGTTTTATTAAGGTCTTATAACAATAAAAAATCCCTTATCTTGCTTTTATCATATTTTCATTATATGTTAGAAACTACTCAAAGTATTTATAGCCCTGGAGCCAGGGCCCAAAAATCGACCTGATCGCAGGCGAAGGTGTGAATTTAAATTACAAAAGTTTATGTTATTCTAAGTAAAATGAACCTTGTCTGCCATTTCAGGACTACAATTTTCAAAAATGGCGCTTGATTTAAAGAATATTACACCAGTAACTTGAGGATCAAAATAGGAAATATAATGTGAAAAATGTGGAAAAAGTTGTTATTTTTTAACTCATGTAAAATCCAAAATTCCTAACTCGAGCAACCAAGGGAAAACTGTATAAAGCCGAAAAAACCATATTGTTTCGATCTTTTTTTGTTTGTTCCTTAAAGTGTGCGTGGAATGAGTACCTGAACTTAATAATTTAGTTAAGCAGTCGACTAGAAAACTACGGTCAACATATACTGATTTTTACGATTTTTTTTTTAAAACATACATATTACTATAAATGGCTTGGAAATGAGTTCCCTAAGAGGAAAAGCCCATAGAATCAAAGTTGTAGAGCGTCCAATTCTGTATCCACTGAGTACCAAAAGTTTTAATGTAGGTCTTACTCACTTAATCTGCCGATGACTGGGAATCGGTAATGAAGGTATGTGTGATTTTTAATATTTTAGCAGTTTTTCTAAATACCCATTTCCAAATAAACATTCTACTGAGTTATTATTGTTTAGAGTCTAGTATAGTGTAGGCCCCTTGTCCTTGTCTTAGCAGCAAAGGATTTTGAGAAACGAGATGTCAAAAAAGACCGATCTTCATGAATAAATAACAAATCCCGATTCGAGAGATATATTGTAACTACATTAAAAATGGTAGTACTCAGTGGACACAGAATTTGATGTTTTACATCTTTGATTCTGAGAGTTTTTCATCTTGAGGAACTCATTTCCTAGCTACAGGACCATTTATAGTAATTTGTCTCAGTTTTTAACAGATTTTTGTAAAAATCAGCGTTTAAAAACGTTGACCATGGTTTTCTACTCGACCACTTAACCAAATTATTTAGTTTAGGTACTCGTTCGATGTACAATTTAAGGTTCTTTAATTTCTTAAACTGTACATTTTTTTCTTTGATAAAAACCATTCATTCACATGTTTGTATTGTATATATCTGCATGTATTTAGTGGTTTTGTTTTATTTTTCTTCCAATATTTTTATTTTAGTGAGCATTGTAAATATTTAATTTAATTTTATGGCCACACAGGCATTTCCTTTGTATCTATAATTTGTCCTAAAGGGACAAAAGTCCCAGGATAATAAAAATCTATTTTCATTTAGGAGTTGGATGTGAAAAAACAAAAAAAGATCAAACAATATGTCTATTTTGGCTGTATAAAGTTTTCTCTTGGTTGCTCGAGTTAGGAATTTTGGATTTTTCATGTTTAATAAATCCATATTCATTAGTTAAAAAATAACTTTTTCCAATGACAGATAAAGTTAATTTTACTTAGAAAAAGATACGCTTTCGTAATTTACATTCAAACCTCTTTGCCTGCGATCAGGTTGATTTTTGAACTAAGGCTCCAAAGCTATTAATGTAACATATTTTACTTGGAAATGTGTGAAAAATGTTTTTAAATATTTATAAAAGTGATTACAATATATTATAAAAGCAATTACAATATATCACTGATAGAATTTAAGGAGCACATCTCAAAATTTTATGTCATCTGGAATTTTAGTAGTTAGGCCGCCATCACTCCAAAAAGAAACCAGTCATCAAGGATTAGGTCTTGAATCTAATAACATGTATTTTACTTGAATCATTTTACTTAGGTTGAACCTTTGTTCTGACAAAGATTTTTTTTTACTTGTGTTTCTTGTATTCTCGCTTTGTGAAATTGATTAATTGTAGTGAATTTTACTGTAATATTATACTCTTTGTCTACAAATCTATTGTGACCTGCTGACTCTATAAGTTGAAGAAATCGTTCAGTTACTTGTACAAATTATAATCTAATAATCACTTTGTTCTAATTGTAATTTTATTCTTTTTAAGGCTTGCGAGATGCTACTATCTTACAGAGTTGAAACGAAATTGGCCAGTAAAAAAGTTGATGGAATTCTGAATAGATTACACGTAGCATTTCCAAAACCCAGGGATGAGAAAGATAGACCACCATGTATACCAGGTAAAGTATCATTATCATTTTGTATTATATTTAATATTATACCATTTGAAAAATTGTCACATTTTTTTTTTCTTATTATAAATTGAATTTTTAAACTTGCATTCGTCTTAAATTTGATTGTTTTATAACACAATTTATCTATCAAAGTTTTAAAAATAATGCTAGGTCAAATACCACTTAAAATTTAATTCTAAATATTTATAAAATTTGTTTTCACAACAAAATTGATACAATCTGTATTACTGTGACCAATAAATAAAAAATCTGGTGCGCAAACACTCAACTTTCACTTACCCCTCTTCTTTGAATAGAAATTATTTTCTGGCAATGTTGGGCTATTATAAAATTTTTGAAGTGTATTTTAAACTGGGCTAAAGCTTAAGGCTTACAGATAACAAATCATTAAGACCATTAAAATTACAAAAAGTTGATTTATTCTATTAATGGTAAACAATAAAAACCTCGGTACTCCATCTGTTTTTGTAAATCACATAACTCCAGTTTCTGAGCCTTCCATTTGACAGAATGATTAACTCCAATTTCAACATTTTAGAGTAATGTCATTTTAGTGATATTTCTAGTTGGGAAAGTTATATCTATATAGACAGTGAGCAAGTTGATTCCAGAGTAGGTGATTGCAATGTTGAAATGTAGAACTGTGAATAAATATATAAATTTTGCCACTAGAAACATCTCTAAAATTAATAATAAAGAATGTTGAAACTGGAGGTAGTCATTCTGTGAACTGTAAGGTCAATCACTCACAGCGACCATTTTGCAGAACTTGGTTATTTGGACTCAAGGGACCTCAAAAAGTGTATTTCTGTTGAAAACTCAGATTAAAAAATTTCACGATCACAATACTTAACCTTACTATATATTACATGTATTGTATTGTAAGTGAATGTAAAAATTGGAACTTATTACCTATTTGTAATGTTTGCACCAAATCAGATTTTTTTTTTTAAATAATAATCTACAATATATTTGTTTCTACACAACAGATGCAGTTTGGGCAAAGAAGCAGGCTAAATTGAGAGAAGCCGAAGAAGACATGGGAGAAGAGCAGATGGAAATTAAACACAAATTAGAACGGGAAATCGAACTGGAGTTGGGAGACGATTATGTACTGGACTTGAAAAAGAACTATGATCTTCCAGAAGATTATAAGTATGATATTATTCCAGAATTTTGGGAAGGCCACAATGTTGCTGATTATATTGATCCTGTAATATTCAAGGTAATAAACTATCAATAGTGTTTTGCATTTATATGCTTATAATAATTAAATTTTAATCTGATATTTCACTTGTATTTCAGAAATTAGAAGAACTCGAGAGGGAAGAATCAACTCGTGAAGAAGCCGGCTTCTACGCTGTTCCGAAGATTGAGTTGGATTCGACCTTACAAGATATACGTGCCCTCGCTCAGCAGATAAGAGATAAGAAGATATTGATGAAACAAGAAGCTTCCGTTAGAAAATCATCTACCAAACCGAAATTGCCCCGTACTACTACACCTAAAGTTAGGGATAGGTCTGTTTCGCGTTTGAGGACAGAAATGGGAGCTCTTGGTGTGGACATTGGAAATGAGGAGAAGGTATTTATTTTAACATATGTTTCATTTATGGCGTTTGTCATTAATGCATTGAAATAAATTATTTGTTAGAAGTGAAGAAATATTTATAATAGATTATTGGTTTATATTTATATATTTTTTTTATTTTATTTAATGTTCTTTATTTTATTAGGCTGGATTTAAAAGGACACGTGGACGATCTAGGTCGTTATCAAGAGGAGTCAAAAGGATGAGGATTGATTCAGAAGGAAGGGCTAAGAGCATGTCCAGACCTCCAAGGGATGTATCTGGAGTTAAAGATCAACAGGTGATAATAATTGTTTTACTTCAACTTTCTGTTTTTTAGTACTGTGTATTATTTAATAACTAATTCAAAAAATAAACTATTAATATCATTATTGATTCATTACTGGATCTCTAATTCATTAATTACATATTAACTAAATCGGTCAATTTTAAATATAAATATACCTTTCTGAGCGAATCACACTTATGACATTTAGCCATTGCACATTTCTTCTCTTTAGCTACTTTAATGTCCACCTCTTGCAGCTTTATACCAGAAGTGGCTTTATCATTACTTTGTACAATCTTGATTTGAGATTTTTTGGTATTTCAATACCTTTGAAAGAGAAGAAAGCTTTGTTTGGCATTATTGTGGAGCTGAGGCATTTTAATTTGTCTACTATCTGAAACAAGTTACCTTACATGTAGATAATGTTCGGTGGAATCACTTACAAAATGCTACATTTGTGTTAGATAGCTATCAATCCTGGGTTGTGTAAAAACGTGGTCCACCTATTTTTTTAAAAATCTTTCAAACGCATGGTTTAATTCAACTTTTGGAATTTATGATTAAAAAATGTCTAATGATGATGTGTCAAAATTTGAATGATCTTTGAAAATGTTCTTTATTCTCTTATTAATTGCTTGACACAGCTATCAATTGTTTATATGAGAATTCATGCATTAATTTTAATTTCAGACAAGGCAGAAACTGAAGAAAATAGCACACAAAGCTATCTCCAAGAAAGTTGGAAAGAAGGGTCTCAAAGGAGAAGCGGACAGATTTATTGGAAACAAAATGCCCAAACATCTATTTTCTGGAAAACGAGGCATTGGAAAGACTGGAAGAAGATAAGATAATAATAAAATTTATAAAATATAAAAACTTGACTTTTTTGTACTGAAACCTTCCCTCCTGGTTTCTGCAGTCCCCACTCCTCTAACCCAATGCCCCCTCTACTTCAATTCCCCTCTTGCATTGGATGGATTATTAGTTAACTACGTTGTATTATTAAATTAAAAGATACTCTTCGCGGATTATTATTATTATTTTATAAATTAAATTAATGTTGTTTTAAGTTTAGAATGCATTAGTGACTTTTTTCTTTTTGTTGTATGTACGTTGGGTTTTATGCGCAGTTTAGTTGGTAACAAAAATGGAGGTATACAGCCTATGTATCACGGAAAAGGTAAGTTTCAATTTATTTAATATCGGGTTTTTATGCTTTTTATGGTCGACAAAAGTGTTATTTCCAATAAAAATAGAGCTATGCTTTATGGTTTGTTGTTTTATGCTATTTTAACGTTAAATAACGATTTGGCGGCAACAAGATCTGTCCTTGCCGGCCATGTTTCTAACTTTTCAACGACTGTTGATCAATTTTCTAATTTATGATAATTTTTTATGTTGTTATTGTTTGATTCTAAAATGAAACACAAGTTTGCTATTTAGTAATATTTTATGGTTTTTAATGTTTTCAAGATCTGTTGACATCTTTAAGTTAGGTAATTATATAATATTTTTTAGTTATACGTTAAAGTGACGTTTTGTTATGATAATTTATGTACTACTTAAACAGTTCAGGTTATATTTATGAATTTTGAGTGAGTAAATTTGGCGGTTATTTTATTTTATCTGGGGATCATTGATTTTAATCTACCTGTGTAACAAATTAATGACATTACACCTTAAATATCATTATCAATTGTTAATATCAATGTTTACACGCAATTCACCATTTAGATCTCCCCTTTCTTACGCGTTTTATACATTTTATTAAAAGTGTTATTCAATTTGTGTTCGTCACTATCCTTAACAGTGAAGCCAGGGACGCTTCTTATTCATATGACCTTGAAATCGCCAATCTCAAATAGTCTTCCCCCATTTTCATGATTTCATTCCTTCAATTGAATTAACTTCAATTATCTTATTCCAGTTTAATTATTAATAATTGACATATAAAGATACTGATTAGAATTGTTTATTATGCTAGATGTATATCTGTAAACTGCATTCCTTATTAAAGACTTGAGATATTTAAAAATTATTTTAAAACAACTGTTAAATATTATAAGAATGAAACAACATTGTCAGGAATTTCTGTCAAGATATTTTTATTGGGTTAACCTTGACTGTAATTCTTCAATGTTTTGTTTCATCCTCATATATAATTGATCTGTCGACTACTTACCCATCTGTAAAATATTTAGAGATGTTAAGATTTGTATATTAAAAAAGGCCTAAAGTTATTTCGTTTAACTAGTATCTTTGTTACATCTATGAACATAGATTTTTTATTTAATTTATATCAATATTTGAATTTCTTTAACTTGAAATATCAATTTTGGAACTCTTGTATACATTCATATATCTTTAGTTAGTTTTGCTTGTCGTCAATAATAAAAACCATGTAATATGATTGCATCTTTAAACATTTGTTGTACTATTACATTATCGTATTTAAGTACTAAATCCATATAATAGATCATCTTATGTAAAAGTTGTTGAGGGGGAATATAAATTTTTTTGTATGGGTTAGATGCTATTGTAAATTTGAAAATGTAAAGACAAATATAAATGATTTTTACATTTAAAAGTTTATATATTAAACAAGAAATACATACAAAACCTTAAATAATTTTTCATCTTGCTTTAGTTACGGTCATATTGAGTTTTTTTCTATTTTTATTTTGGTAAATCTTAATTAATGGTTCTCATATTTTCATTGTTTCTTGAGTTATTATTTTTGTAAAAATTTTAATATTATTCTAAGATTTGAGATTTATCTCTAATATAATGCTGATGTTTGTCCTTGATAAAAATCCTACAATGAACTTTTTTGTTAGGATAGATAAAATTTTTTCTTGAATATATATTGTTTTGTTTATATTATGAATCGGGTTGTAAATATTATTCCATTGTGTTAAATTAATCTGTTGTAAATATTTATACTCAAAATTTTTCACTTTGCTTAATTTTAAATTATTCCATAACCTGATCTCTGAATAAAAAATGATGCTTTCTTAAACTCTCGTTTTAAAACATTTCTCGTTGTGGTAGAACCTTAAGAGTTATTAAATCAACCATTTTACAATTATTATTTTTTAATTTACAATTAATGTATGTATAGTTTGTGGTGTTATATAATCATAACATCGACGTTTCATTGCCTTTTATCACACCTTTAGGATTTTCCTGTTTTTTTTGTTATGTTTTTTAATTTTTAGCCTTAGTATTACATAATGTCCTCATAATATTAGATTTACAAATATTAAAATCTTTTTATATAATGAGAACTATTCCTGCTTCCTTATATTTACTTTATCATCGTACAAACTGTCCACACATTAATTGCAAATTAAAAAATGACATTATCATAAACCATTTTATTTTTACTTAGAAGCATCAGACTTAATATTATTTATTTATTATTCCTAACCTGATGGAAATTAATATAACTAGAGTATGATATAAAATATATTAAAATAATATTGAGAGTGGGTAGCTCGGTGAGTAAGGCTCTCGGTTCCGAGATTGATTATGGGATCGGAGACCCTCTTGGGGCATCCCCAGCCTCTATAATGTAGGTATTATTAATGAAATAATTAATTAAGGGGGAAAAAACTGGTGCTTGAGCTTGATCTTGATAAAATCACCTCATGCAATCATTGGCCAACAAACGATACTGCTTGACAAAGTACTGAATTCAAGACCGACCCTCCATGGGTTGTAATGGTACGGTTTTTTTAAAAATTATTATTTTATTAATTAATATATTATTATTATCACACTGCATCAAGAAAAAGTGTAGGAAGCTTTTAAGTGTATAACATAGGCCAAATATTTAAATTTTCCATTTATGCCTAAAGTCACTAGTGCATCCAAAATTCAATTTTGGATATGAAACGGTGTCTAAGTGATTTTTGAAGTCTTATTAAATGTAGTTACAAAAACAATACTTGTAGACATACTTTTTAATATTTTTTCTTAAGGCATGGTTATATCTTACCATTTTGGGAGAGGGAGGGGGGCTTCACCACCAAAAGGACTTCCTCCATAGATTCACCTATGCCTAAAGCCTAAAAATCATATTTTTAAATATCTCATTACAGTTTCTAATAATATCAAGTAAAATCGTATTTTTTTTAAATCGTATTTTTCGTTGATTATTTTTATATGGTATTTATGTTTTGGTTATTATACTTGTTCCCAATGTTATGAGTTTTCTTATATTATTGTAAATTATGGTGTGAAAGTAAAAGTGAAATTTTTTTATTTAATATTGTATTTTACTTTTTTTTATACCCCCTCCCTCCTGGTAGGGTATGTAAAAATTTGTAACTGGTATATAAAAACTAGTTTGGTTGTAATTGTTTTTTATCTTTATCAGAAGGTATTCGGTGCGGTAACGGTAGGGAAACCACGAGTGATGATAAGAAATAGTTCATATCATCATGGGAAATATTGTTATTCAATGATATTGTATTTATGGACTGCTTAAATAATCAAAAATATATATATTCATACTCATGGCGGACTTTCGTATTGTTAATTGTTTTTTAAACAAAAATTCTATAGCAAGAGATGTTAAAGTGTTATAATAATGATATTTAAACCATCGAAAAAAACAACAGTATTTATCTCCTCGAAAGATATTAAAAATATTTTAAGGAAGGGGGTAAACCACACCGACATTGTGATGGTATTTTGATCGATCTTCTGATAGTATCGATCAATGTGTATCGAAATAAAAGTAATCTGTTTATTGTTTTGATTTTAACATCGATATATCGGAGAAGTTAAATGGCCTTTCAAATCAGTATCTTAAATACTTAAATAATCATATGATTACTTATTGTGATTTAACTAGGCTGCACACGCAGACCATTTTACGAGTCTTCGTTATTTGGACCCAAGAGATCTTAATACGTTGGTTTCCATTGAAAACTCACATTTAAAATTTTTCACGATCGCAATACTATCTATCCCGTCCTTCATATTTTATGTACTGCTAAGTGAATATGAAAAACTAATGGTCCCCTTAGTTGTTTAACTGTTCTAATTGTTTAAATAAAACACTCGATATTATTATTTTTAAATATATTGGTATTACTTTTATTTATAAACTGTGCCAGCCTTATAGATATCCGGCATCCCCGGGCAGTGACGTCATTCTCCCTTAAAAAAAAATAATTTATTTCTCAAACTGTTTTATATTATGTAGTATTTAAATTTTATTTCATTCAGGATTTCTCTAATACAGTTACTTCATTAATAGTCTAGAAATAATTATTTTAATACGTTTTGTATTTTTTTTTTCTTACCAGTGCAAGTGCAGGCCGACACTGTTTATAAGTATGTTACTACTTTTATTTTTACTATAGGACTTAAAGAGAACGTATTGAAAAATTCTTATTTCTACTGTCATTCCCCTTTGAAAATAGATACGTATTACTTTAACATAAATAGTAAGGGGCGTACAAAGGTAATGTTATGAAGTAAAGGTCTGATATTTCCACAGTAGTTTACCGTAAATACTGTTTGGAAAATATGTTTGATATGTTCTTTATTATCAATTAGAATACAAATCTCTGAGAAAAAAAAAAAAAACACAGTCTAATGTGAAGATAGTAAGATCGTTTCCGATAAGGTGAAGATAGTAAGAAACAAAACTACAGCGTGTGCTTTAGACCACACGATAGAAGTGAAAACATCAACATCAACAAGGCGAGATTAATAAAATGATATGAAATATTTTAATAATATAATATGAAATATATATTTTTTTACTTTCACTTACCTATATATGTAATATATAGTAAGGAAAAGTATTGCGATCGTGAAAATTTTCAAAT